CCAGCGCCAGGCGGGTCGCTGCCAGCCGAGCTCCTTGCGAGCGGCCGACCTATTGTTACGGGGGCGCGTTTGGAATATTTATTATTAATAATAATTTAAATTAAAAGCCGGGGCGACGCCTGGCTCCTCCGGCTCTGCGAAATGTACCTTAGGAGGGGGCGGGGGAGGGGAGAGACGCTGCTCTTCTTCACCAGCACACTCAGGTTGTGAATTTAGGATTTCCAACATGGAGGGGACGGCTTTCCGGCAGAATACCTCTGCATTAGCTCCCTTTTATCTTTTTCCCCCGACCGCCTGATTTTTTTTCTTCCCCCGAGCATCCTCCTCCCCGCGGCCCTTTCCCTCCCGCACCTTCCCCCGATACCTGTTTGGTTTTTATTTTTTTATTATTATTTTTTTTGGTATTTTTCTTTTTAAATGCCTCTAAATCCTCGCCCTCCAAAGTTGCGGGCGAAGAGTTTGTGGTTAAATGTCGCCGCTCGCAAAGTGAAACTTGGAGCGCGGTGGAAAGAGCGGATCCTGCCCGGCTTTAATTGGAACGGGAGATCATCGAATATTTATTATTCTGCCTGGGATTTTTTTTTTTTTTTTTAAAGCAATTCCTTGGAGTAAATAATTAGGATTGCGGCCGTCCTGGGCGAAGATAAATGAGCGGCATTTGTGAGGCGCTGAGAGATGAGGTACAAAGCAAAGCCGTGGAAGCCACAAGCCAGGGAGCTTTTGGACGAAGGGGGTTGTAAATTTATTTTATGGACATTTAACAAAAAAAAACAACAACAACACAACAAAACCCCCCAAAAATCACCGCTGTTATTTTTAGCTGAGCCTCACAGCCCTGATTTAGGTTTGTTTTGTCGTTTTGTTTTGCGAGGTTTGTGTTTTTTTTTTTTTTTAAAGAAACCTTCGCCAGCCAGGAAGGCCTTGGAGAAATTCCCACCTCTGCCCTGGCAGATATTTTCAGCAAACCTATCCATAATAAAGGCGCTGCCGTTTGTTAATTAATTCGCGGCTCCTCGGCTCGGGCAGTGGGATCTACTTTTTTTTTTTGGGGTTTTTTTTGTTTGTTTTTTTTTTTTAATAAGACATATTTATCATGGCGAGGAAAGCGAAGGAGAACAACTCCCCGCGAGGAGCTCGTCCCCTCCGCAGACAATGAGGCATCTCCGTGGAAGAGACAAGGCGGACCTGGGAATGCAGCAAGGATTTAATCGGTGTGAAAAAAGCCGAGCGGTCCCTTCGTGGACGCGCTGTGGTGGAAGCAAACGGAGGTTTCATGTGACGTGACATAAGAACGCAGCAGTCAGGGAAGGGGGGGGATAAAAAAAAAAGAGATGTTATTTATTGTCGAGCCGCGGCTTCTGTTAAACCCCGGCACTCAGAAATATCGCATCAGGCTTTATCTCCGCCGAGTTTATTTTATTTTATTGTCCAGAATGAAAGAGCCCAGATAAAATTAAATATACAAGAGATACGATTAAATATACAGTGGGTATCAACTGGCCAAACAAAACGCACAGTGGCTCCTCGCAAACTCTTGGCTGCAGAGAGAACTCTCCCTGGCTTTTTTAAACCCCTGTGCTGCTGGATTGAGCCTCACCCATCAGATTATTTTCAGTTTTACCGGTTTTGAGGGTATTTCTGCTCTGTCTTTATGGTGGAAAAAGTTTATGCTTTGAGGAAAGAAAAAAAAGAGAAGGAAAGAGATAAAAGAACCGTAAAAAAAGGTCAGAGACAGAAGGGGGGAAAGGAAGGTTTCGTTTTGTAATTTTAGGCTTTGGAATGGGGGGTTTTTATGGACTTTTTTAGAGCTTGGGTTGAGGGAGGGAGGAAGGACGAAAAATCAAAGGGGGAGAAAGTTAAGAGCAAATGGCCTGGTGACATGTTTGTTTTCCAAAGGGGGGAAAAAAAAATAGCAACAGCAACTGGACTGGTTTTGGAATCAACATCTTGCCAAGGGGAGCTCCGGATTCAGGAGGGCTGAGTACAAAGCCATGCAGGCAGGGAAGGGGGGTGTTTTCTAAATACAACCTGTGCTTCCAGAGGGGGAGAGGGAGAGAGAGAGAGAGAGACACTCACGAGCAGGCCAAAGGCAGCACATTCTTGAATTCGTGCCCCTGCTTAAATCTGCTGAGAAATATTTGCTCTGAATTCCAGAGACATTGTGAGTTCCTGTGCAAACAGCCGAGGGAGCCAACTGTGCCAGGACACGGTTACCTGGAGAAAACATATTGCTGTTTGCTGGTTTCAGCTTCAAAACAAACAGAGCAGGCAGAGGCCCTGCAACAAACCCACCAGACTTTGCATTTCGGGAGGTGCAACGTTGCTGTGTGTGTGAAGGGCTGGTTTGAATAGGTCAGGGCTGAGAAAGCAAGATTTCATTCCTTTCATGCTTGTGGCCAGCAATTCTCCCCTCTGGACCCCAATATCTGGGTTGTTTTTGGTGTTCTGTGGACGTGGGTGTGGGTGTGTGCACGTGACACACATCCCCGTGGATGCACCCACGTGTTTAATGGGGAGTGGGTGCAGATATATTTAATTGTGCAGCATAGAGAGGAATGCAGGAGGAAATAGATGTGTGCAGACGAAACCACGTGGGCTTTTGGAGCACCTTGTACATCCTGGCAGGGGGGAAAAAACAAAAAAAAAAAAGGTGCAACCAACAGCCAACCCAAACCAACCAGGAAAACTGTCGTGTGTGTGTGTGTGTGTCCCCCCCAAAAAAAAAAATCAGCTCAACTTTTGCACTGTAACGTTTGTTGGAGCCTCCTCGGGCTGCACACGGGACGAAATCTGCTCCAAGCATCTGTTCCTCCTGTTCTGCGGGACCCTATTCATGTCATGGGCCTTTCAGGCCCCAAGATGGATTCCTAGGCCGGGGACTATTATTGTGTGTTTTCTCCTAACCTTTCAGGTCAGCTTCCACCAGACAGCTGGAAACGGCCTGTCACGTGGCCTCGGGGTGCCAATGTTCTGCCATAGGGGTGTCAAGACCCTGGTAGCCGGAAAAATCGTTTTGGGGAGCCCCAGAGATGCAGAAGACCACGTACTACGACGGCTCCACGCTCTTCGGGGGCGGCTACTCCTACGGGAGCGCCAACGGCTTCGGCTACGAGGGTGCCCAGCAGCCCTTCCCGGCGGCCTCTCACGTGGAGGGCGACTTCCAGAGGTCTGCCTGCTCCCTCCAGTC